ACTACTCTAGAGTACGCTGAAGTCGGGGTCCTCACGTCGGACAGAGCGCAGAGCATTAAGCAGGAGAATCTACTCATGTTGAACTCACCTTCTTCAAAAAGACGAGGTGGGGAGATCACCAGCCTGAGATCGAGCTGGTCTTGGTGTCTTTGGCTCAAGGTTGAGCTAGTGACAGGGATGTGCACGGACTCTTAACACGATGACTCTGTGTGGATCGTTGCTGCCTTTTTATTGGTGACACCAAAACAGTGATTCAGTTACCAGCAGCGATGCCCTTGTTACGTTCGTAGCTTCATTGTTACTATATAGTAAGGCCAGGAGCGCCCCTACTTCGGTTCGCGTCCCATCGCTCCGTTCGATGCGCATAGTGCCCAACATGTGACGTTCGTAGCGTCCGACGATTGCGCGGAGATGTCTGGCTCCATGGTCGCACCCAAGGCGGCCAAGGAACACAGCGGGTCTTTGGGATTCCATTTTGCTCTCACAGTATACTTCCAAACCTGTTTCGGGATGTTGTGAACACCATCGCCTGGCCAGGCGATGGTACTGGTAGCTTTTGGAACTTGATGAACGTGCACAACCACCAATCACTGAGATTTTTCACTTGATTTGGCCACAGAACTGTGAGTCATGGCCCTTCCCTCACCAAACCATGGTGACATCCCAAACATAGAGGAATCTGTTCATTTTCAACGAGGGTGCTCAGGTTTTGACCCACAGCCAGTGTGGCATTTATCTCCGATACCAATCCGTCCCTGAAAATTTGTCCGCTTCGGACTGTCTCGTTGGACAGACTGAGAGCCATGATGAGAGGATAGGAGCCACAGCCATCGCTGGCCCATTCATCAATGTTGTTTGTAGTCCAGAACAGATGCTGTCAAGACTCAAGAAGTTGCAGCAAACCTTAAACCTTCAATTCTAGTGAAATACCCGGGTCATTCTTATGGGCTGCAGTTTTGAACACATCGGGGGTGGTTGGCCATCGCAGTGGAGGCGGATGCCATTCCATTTGTTGGAATCTACGCTTGTTTGGTCTGCGGATAGATGTGGTCGCAATCCTTTTGTTGCATCCAGGATGTAATTGTCTATAGCCACCTCTAGTCATATTCTTATGGCTAGTCGGCCAGTCAGTCAAGTTATGTTTTGCAATGTATTCTCTTTACGGATGACGGATGACTAGTCCAGGGCACAAGATATCTTCTGCGCATACACAAACCACACAGGCTCCAAAGAATCCAAGGCTCGTACCACTGCGCGAACGGGCGCGAACGGGCGCGAGTGGGCGCGAGGCGTTTTTGTGACGCCAGCGAACGGTGTCGACCCGAAGTGAAGCGCCAGACGGAGGCACTGACTGAGGCAGCCGCTGCGCTCCAAAAAGCGTCCGTTTGGGTTTCATTTTGGAAAGCCATGGCCATGATGCTCGTGTCTGCTTGTAGGTGTGGTGTGCATGCAAAATATGGCCAGCAGCGGTTGACCAATATCCAGTTTGTCAGTTGCAGCGGTAGCATTTAGCTTAACTATGCGCTGTGGGTAGGGAACTGTATCATGTGACCATCCACTGAGATTTGATTTCAAGCCACATAACGGGAAGCCAGGCTGGGTGAACCTCCTGTATGGGCGGTTCACTGTTGGGATGTGAACACCTGGATGGGGCAACACGACGCAGAAACATGAGGGAGCCACCGTTGCCACACCGGTGCTGCTGGAGTTTTGGCTGAAGAGTCCCATCTGAGTGCTGGGTGTCCGATCTCTCGTGTACAGAGCGCGTCTTCCATGGTTTTTTGGCCTGAAAGATCTCGGTCGGTGATGTCGGTGGGGACACAACATGTTTGTTTGTTTGTTTGTTTGTTTGTTTGTTTGTTTGGGGGGGCATGTTTCAAGGTGCCAAATAACAACTGTAGACTGTTGATGAATACAAACAAGAGGTTTTGCAATCCAATTGGGAGCACTTTATTGATCAAGGGTCTACAAGTCTACATTACTTACTTCTTCACCTCGAATCATGTCATTTAGGACCTCGGACACTTCGCATTGGGACTGCCTGATTTTCAGTTTCGGACGTCCAAGCCCAGCATGCAATTCGAGGGTCCGATTTCATTGGGTGAATTATACCACAAGATTCAACCAGGGCACTGGGACATCCCACTTTCAGTGGCGGAACCCTTTACAGGTATCGAAGATGATTGTGAGCTTAAGGAACAGCTAAGGTGGTCAATGACATCTGGCACCACAAACTCATGAACTATGAACTATCATGAAATCATGAGCTCTTTTTTGCGGCATGGAGGCTAGAGTCAAGTTGACGCACCATCTGAACTTTGGGTACCCAAATCTATGCAATGTTGTTTTGTATCTTTTTGGGGAGACCTCACTTGGTCGCACTGCTCGAGGTGGAGGCCGCGGAGGTCGGGGACTGCACGCCGTGCAGGGAACCGGTCTTCGGCAGGTTGCTTCGGTGCCCTCTTCGGCGCTTTCGTCGAATTGAAAGGTATGGTGACCTCAGCAGGGTCGGTCTACAAGATGCATACTGTACCTCCAAGGTTACCACCTCCACGGATGGCTGTATGGTTTAAAGTGTGAATATGACGTGACAATTCGGTTTTGGAACATCCGTGTGCACTCATCCGAAGCTACGTCTTCGGAACCTTTCAGGGGCGATGAACCTGCCGAGAAGCCGCCTTGGTCCTGGTGCCGCCTTCCCCCCTGCGTCCAGGCGCAAGTTTTAGAGGCACTCGTCGCCAAGCTGAAGGAGGCCTCTCTTGGCCAACGGCTTCGGGTCGCAGTTCTTGGCGGCGCTCTCATGCGGTGCCTGGTAGAGGTGACAGGGAAATGATGGGTCATTTGATGGAACAGGTGGCAGTTGGAAGCCAAGTAGCTTGGAAGAGGGATCCTTCTCCCTCTCCTTCTCCCTCCTTCCCTCCCTCCCTCCTTCCTTCCCTCTCCTTCCCTCCCTCGCTCCCCTCTCTTGGGTTGTTCTGTTTACGCGAACTTGGTTTTGTTCTCCCGATCATTTGAACTTCTCTCGCTGCAGAAGATGGCAGGTGATCTCGTTGCACCCATTCTGTATCCACCTCCCTTTTGAGTGTTCTTTTGGTGGTTGCTAAGGATCGTTGGTGTCACCAGTGGGTGGAAGAGAACCAGTGAGACAGTAAGACCAGGCTCAAATCTTTTGATCGACTTGTAGAGAGGAGAGGTTGCGATGTTGTGCCCCCGGCTTCACTTGGATTCATATACCGGAATTGGAGGACCCATCGCTGATCTACGATCCGAAGCTCGCAGTCTTCAAGGAGGGTGATGGAACGGGCGATGGGAGACGTCTTCTTTTTCACGCGGGTCCGATGGAGGTGATTGAGAAAGTGATCTGATTGATTGCGAGGTGACAGAAGTCGATCTGTAAGAGGCTGGAAAGAACCTGAGAAGAAAGGTTTTGTTGTACTAAGAGCACTTTTTAAATGCTAGGTCACTTGACACTTAGTAACTATGAACCCTTTTGGGGAGTTCTGGTGCCTTGCCAGTTAAATTTGATCCGAAGCTGAACTGCACCAAACAAAATTGACGGGGTCCGTGCTTGACAAGATGATCGCTTTGGATTTTGGAACTCGTGTGAAAACGCTTTGGGCATCTAAAGTTGAGGGGTTTATCAGGAAAAGGATTGTGCAGATCCTCTAGTGACTCTAGTGCACTGATCCTTCCATGGCCCAACAACCATCACTAGCTTGCTTAGTAGTACGACAAGGCTCTTACCTGCCTGGTGTGCACTGCATCTTTGTTTTTGCGAAAGAGGGACATGCCTTCAGCGTACATTTTTGGAAGACTGTAAAACGGCCACCCTGAAGAAGAAGAAGGGGATCAAGAGGATGAACTCCATGGACCCTTTAAAGTTGGAAACCTGGTGCAAAACTAAGGGCACGTTGATCATCGTTGATCCCATTGCTCTGGGATATCTGGTTACCTTAAACGTCTTTTACGTGCACAAAGCGCAGAGCGTTTGGTTTCTGAGGGACCTTGGGAGATGCTGCTCGCGACCACCAAACGACTGGAGGGCTTCGTTTGGGTGATGTGAAGCGAAGCAAAAGAGCTACATAGATGGAGAAGGCTCTTGCAAGTCATTTGGACAAATAGGGTCCAAGCAACGGTGTTCACCCAATTTGCAGATGGTTCGATTTTCTATAGATATCTGTAGATGTATTCGCATCGCTTCGCGACGGCAACCGCCCGCACGGAAGGGTTGGGCTCGTAAACGCCCAAAATTTGTGCTTGAACATTGTCTGAAACTGGCCCAACATAGGTCCCATTTCAGCCAAATTAGCCCAAGAAGTCCATATCTCAAACGTCTGTCTTCCACATAGCGACTTTGGCGTCTGAAACATTGACCCTAACATGGCGCCAAAGTGGACCTTTCCCTTCGCAGCTTCTGATGGGTCAAAAAGTCCTCTGGAGCTTTCGACGGTGACTTTGCCGTGCCTCGAAGCGTCAGGACTTCATCCTGAGCTGGGGTGCAAAGGCATGTGTGTGTGTGTTATATGCCAAACTTTGGGGCGTCGGCGTTGGTTTTTCCTTTTTTGTATTGCTTTTGGTGAGTGTGGGTTGTGATCATACCAGTGCGCGTCATGCTTTCAATTGACATTGATGGAGGGAACATAGAGGGAACATACTAGTTGAGGCCTGACCTCACATGCATTGGCATCAACCAGGTCTGTTGAGAACTTCTTGAACTTCTTCATTCACACGGGACCTTACACTTGTACAAGACTGGCACCGTTTTCCATTCTATTCGACCGCCACTGCAGCTGGAGGCGCCAGAGGCAAAACCGCAACCCAAGCCGCAAGCCAAGGCCAGTCTTCTCAACGTGGATATGGGACATCCACCACCAAGTCGGTCACCGGTGTTGAAGGTCTGCCTTGGACCCAAAGCCTTGGACCCTCCGTCGAAAGGATCATCTATGTTTGGGTACTGCGACAACTTCATCCATAAAGAAAGACCTTCTTACGGATGTTTTGTTGTGACTCGTGGCCCTGATATTCTCTATACAAATACCGTGGTATTGCATGGACCTGAGTGGTGTGGGGGGAAGTCTGTAGCGAATGCAGGGGCATCCTTCGCTTGCTCATCGAGGGAGTTCCGTACCCAAACTCCGAAGCAACCAATCCCAAACGCTCCGAAGCCTGCTTTGCTTGCCGGTTTGGGTTCCATGAAGGGTGCCATGGACCAAATCGAAGGGCACTGGCAGGACATCCCCCGACATAGTACTTTCCGGGGATGAGAGTGCGAAATTGGCCTATAGAATCTGCATGAACTGCAAGAATTCCCCCAAATGAAAAAGCCGGGCCTGAAGAACGAGCCTCTTCCTGGCTCCAATCCTGAAGAACGAGTTCAACGCTCGACCCAACAGGCACCTGAGCCTGAGCCTGCCGGGGCACCCAGGTTGGTGAGGTTGGTGAAGTGTGAAGCAACTCCTGGCGGTCTGGGTGCCTTTTTGGCAAAGGAGTGGGGGTGCCGGGGGTGCCATACCATACACCATGTTGATCTCACCAATGGCTCTGAAGAGCTTTTGATTTGACAGAGATCAACCCTCAGATCTGGAAGGCCAAGTGCTGTGGAAGTAACAACCCTTGCTCGGGCCGAAAGTATGCGGAAGTGGTGAGTTTGTTTCAATTTCTTCAGGACTGCAGAGACTGTTACACTCTGAGAACAAGCTATGCAGCTAGATGAGTCTTCACAAGAACAAACCATTCATGGACAATGTCTTTTGAGGTATATATGTTGTATTTGTTGTAAGAATTTTCGAGTCTTTTTTCTTTTTCTGCAGGCAAAGGTCGAGGAGGAAGAAGAGGTGGATGTCGTAGACTGCTGCTGCTGTGAGCTGTGAGTGTGTGTGAGTGTGTGTGTGTGTGTGCGCGGTGGAGGGATTTTTCACAAGAAACAAACAAGCTTTGGTGCCAGATGCGGCTCGAAAAGCCACCTTGTCTTGGGATTGCCGAAAGAGCCCCCTCTGGAACGGTGGGAGTACCAGGTAGGCTTGGAGGCTGCGTATGTTTCTTGCAGAGACAGCAGGGACATTTTCTGTCTCTTGTCTCTTGATTCATGCACATTCTTTTTGTAACGAGTAGATGCTCACAAGCATTCTTTGGCACTGGCACATGTGAAACACGGACACATGACACATCCTTTCCAAGTCATAGAAACCATGTACAGAACGTCCTATTCAAGAGGATGTCCTATTTGCATTTGTAACTCTCGCGCGGTACGGTGCGGCAGATGGTTTAAGCACGGCGAACCCCTAAACAAGCTAGTCACATCCATTTTCATGCGGAGAACGATGATCACCACTGTTTGGGATGCAAGAAAAAACACTAAACATGATGTTTACAGACCACCAAACATGCATGGGGGCACGTGCCCCCACTGCATGGCCAGCACAGGAGGAGGAGCCCGAAGAGCCTGAGGATCCTGATCCTGACAGACTCGAGAAGGCGAGAGAGAGTCATTTGGCGAGTCTCAGAGTCATTTCACCCAGAACTCTATCCACTAGAGTATGTACATGACGAATAAAACCATGCGTATGAATTCGTCATGATCACTTAACCATGAGTATTTCAGGATGTAGACCCATGCGTAGTGCACACGACGAATTAAACATGATCCAACGCTGAGGTTTGTTGAAGGTCCAACGCTGCACTTTAAGGAACCCAGTAGCGATGGCCTCCAACCTAGTAGCCATGGCCTCCAACCTAATAGCGATGGCCTCCGAAGTAGAGCTTTGACACATCTTCCACCCGGACCGGCCACCCACTGCACGACTTGGTAAGTCCAGGATCCTGAGCCCTATCCTTCACCCGGACCGTTGGGGTGCCCAGCTCTCCATCGCCTGCAGGTTCGGGGGTCCACCCGGATCGTGATGCTTTCATTCATCCGTGTTGGCGAGGTAAAGGGTGCCCCTCGTTATAGGTCCAATGAAGACGTTGAGCCATATCGACCTGACCTTTTTTCAAGAAGAAATGTGACCAAAAGAGCTGGTAGCTGGTCACTGGTCTGCCAGGTGGAAGCGAAGACCATTCTCTTCATTTACTGCTCACTCCCCTCATCACTCTTGGTCTCGTCAATGTTTGGGGGGTGTCTCCCCCTTCGTTTTTCATTCGGATATCCCTTCTCTGTTTGGAAGTCCCAGACTCTGCCAGTCTGGTACACCTGAAATCTGAGGGCTGGGGAGTTAGACCTGACCGATGACCAGCTGGACAAGCAGGGCGAGCTCAAACAGGCGTCTGGGTGGATGGGTGGCGACCCGAAGCAAAGATCAACAAATGCCGTTCGAATGAACAGTCATGGAATGGCCAGATGAAAGATCAGCAAGTCCAGCAAGCCCGGCTTTAAAACTGATGATGATGATGATGACGACGACGACGACGACGACGATGATCCTTTGAAATCAAGCAGTGCCTTCGGTTTGGTTCTCATGCGTTTTAGGTGAGAGCATCCTCCTACATTATCCAAGCAACGTTTCCCATCTCCCTCAAGTCCAAAAACCTGAATTGAATCAACCAGAGTCATGAGCCCATGTTCAGCACCTCCCTCCCACTATTTCCCACCCGTCACACGGCTCACTCGGACAGAACAACTCATGACAGGCTGCGGCAGAAGCTTTGGAGGATGGGGATTTGGCCAAAGCAGTGGAGAAGATGACCCAGGCGTGTGGAAGTCTTGAGAATCTAAAAAGCATCAGAACGTCCTTTTTGCTTTTTTTTTTAGTCGAGGATAACTTGGGTGGCGTGATTAAACCTACTCAGCCCTGTGGTGCCTTAAATGGCCTGTTAGCGATATCATCTTGGCTTGTTTGAGGTGCCATCTTTGCTTTTGGTCTCCCAGAATTGGATGGATCATCAGCCATGGAGCGACCAGATACAAACATGTGGCAGCTTGTGTGGCTCCGCAATTGTAGGAATCAGACTCCCAATCTCAGATGGTTTAGATTTTCCCCCAAACAGTGTGCACGCACTTATATAGGGGTTCTTACGGTAGGGGTTAAGCAGCTGTGCTTAGATCGCTGTGCCGCGCGGGCGTGTGCGGCTAATTCGCTGCTATTTACAGTACATTCATGCCTCTCAAACTCCTCCAAGTGCATTTCGACTGCGCAGGCTCGCTGAAGCGGCGGGTGCTTCCAACGACTGCGCTCTCGTTGTGGTGCCGTGCGCATTTTCCTACATGGTGGTGACTTTTCGTGGCAGGCGCAAGGCAAACCTCGTGTTTTGGTGGTCCAAAGTCGAATTTTTCGTGACAGGTGCAAGGGATCGGAGCGGCTTTGCTTCGAAGTGCAGATTTCGTGGCAGGTGCAATACTTTGGCCATGGTGGTGATCGTCGAGG